ATATATAATATTTATTTGAATGCAAACGTTTTACAAAATTCTTTATTAAAAACATATATTAAACAGACTTGAAATTTATATAAAAGAATAAACATTTACAAAGAAAAAAAAAACACTGCTTTGAGTTTGTGACAGCGACTCAACTCCTTCCGCGGTTTTACTTTACCAGCTGAATGCCACTTGAATACGCGTTGCAGAGATAAAATAAAATAAAGTCATTTTCTTTTATCTTCCACCACCTTCTTTTCTTCATTTCTCAATCTGGGTGTTGGTTAACTTTCTCTCATTTTTCAACCTTTTTTTTCATTCTCATAAAAATGAAACCTTTTGTTTTTAGATATTGTTGTTTTCTCCTTTGTAAATAGTTTTCTGCTGACAAGGCCTGTTGTTTTGGATCTTTGATTTGATTTGTTTCTATTTTTAACTACTACTCTAACTTCTGGGTTTGTTGTTGAGTGCCTCTTTGCATGTGGGGTTTTATTCTCTGCCTCCCAAACAAAGGCAAGTGTTGATTTTTTTCTCTTTTTTTAATGATCCATGTCCCTGATTTTGGGGATTGGAGTGTGTATTGGGAAAGTCGCCTCTGGGGTGTGCCAAAGTCTAGCCTTTTTCCCTCTTTGTTAAACTCGTAGGGGTTATAGCTTTCTTGCATGTTCTTGTGCAACTGATTCATAGTTCATGCCAGTTAAGGGTCTTTTTCTTTTAGTTGGTTGGTCTGCTTCCACATGTGTTACTGTGTAATGCAGAGAATGACATGCTAGATAGATTCACATCTTTTTGAGGAAAACAAGGAAAAATGGGATCTGGCAACGAGGTTCACTCAGTTGAGGAGTTCAATTTGGAATCAAAGTGGCTTGTAGATCCCAAACAACTATTTGTTGGTCCAAAAATTGGAGAGGGTGCTCATGCCAAAGTATATGAAGGAAAGTAAGTCAAACCTGTTTCATCGTATGTTTTTGGATTCTATTTTTGGTATCAGTTTTTGTTTTTGAGTCCTTTTATACTAAAATTTCTAATTCACTTTTGTTTTTTTTTTTAATATTTAGTGCAAAGTTTTTTTTTGACTTATATGTCAGCATTGATCTGCTTCTCTTTTCATCTATATTTGCATCCAATTTCACACTCAGTTTGTATATAATCTGTTTTGGAGAAATAAACATTTTGTGTGCATTAGATAAAGTTATGTGCTTGTTGAATTGCTAATTTTCTGATTGCAGATATAAAAATCACAACGTTGCTGTTAAGATCATCAACAAGGGAGAAACCCCAGAAGAGATTTCAAGGAGACAGGCTCGGTTTGCCAGAGAGGTTGCCATGCTGTCGAGAGTTCAACACAAAAATCTGGTTAAGGTTGTATATTAATTTTTAACAAGGTATAGTTAGATATATATACATAGTTAGATATATATACATATTCATATTATATATATACTTTTTAATCAGAACTGGCAATAGGCTGAGGTTAACTAGTACTTAGATCACGTTGATAGTGATGAACTTGAAAAAGTTTGTCTAATTGAAGGTCCTATTTTTGGTTTGATTCCAGTTTATTGGGGCTTGCAAAGAACCTGTTATGGTTATAGTGACTGAACTTCTATCAGGTGGAACATTGCGCAAATATCTCTTGAATATGAGGCCAAAGAGCTTGGATATGCCGGTGGCTGTTGGATTTGCTCTTGACATTGCCCGAGCAATGGAGTGTTTACACTCCCATGGGATCATTCATCGTGATCTTAAACCTGGTATGTCTGTGTAAACGTTGAACTCAGTGGTTTTTGTTGAGTTTTAGCTGGTATAAGGAAAAGATTTTAACTTACATTTGGTGGAATTTTACATCCTGTTTCCTTTATACATGCTTGATTAGTAGACCTTTCAAGCAATTTTAAAAATGATTGGCAATTTTGCATCTTTTCTTTGTTGGTCAATACTACACTATCCACCTATTTTTGTTTTGATCTTGGGTAGAATTGGTTTTGATCGAACTAATTTTGAACTGTTGAATTTAAGGAAGTTATGTATCCATATTAGTCTCAATCAATCATAGATTTATATTGGAAGGTGTGTTTTTCGTTGGAAATGCTATCGTTGATTTTTCAATGCCACAATCCTTGTCTCTTTAAACCTAACTAAAAAGGCTAAAGAATATACATCTCGAACGTAAGACTAGACATTAATGGGTGGTCTGATAGAACCATAGCTCTGATACCATGTGAATAAGTGGACTTTAAGTCTAATTTAACCCCACAAAACCGGCTTATAAGATGAAGTTTACATCTACTTATATATCACAAATTGGTTTTATCCGGCTTATAAGATGAAGTTTACTTCTACTTATATATCACAAATTGGTCTTATCTCTAGTTGACATGGGACTTTCAACACTAATATATAAGAAACAAATCTGAAAATTAAGGTTTATATACAATCTTCTCTATATATCAAAGAACAACATAGTATTGATAACTTGCTTCTTTCCTTTGCAGATAACTTGATCTTGACAGCTGATCATAAGACAGTTAAACTTGCTGATTTTGGTCTAGCCAGAGAGGAATCCTTAACAGAGATGATGACTGCTGAAACAGGAACATATCGTTGGATGGCTCCTGAAGTGCGTCTGAACTACTTTAAACTATGAACATCTATACATCTTCCAGTTTTTTGTGAGGTAATTTATCATTACTTTCTTTTTGGTGGCAGCTTTACAGCACTGTTACTCTAAGACAAGGTGAGAAGAAGCATTACAACCACAAGGTGGATGCCTACAGCTTTGCAATTGTGTTGTGGGAACTCATCCATAATAAGCTGCCCTTTGAAGGCATGTCTAATCTACAGGCTGCATATGCAGCTGCTTTTAAGGTAGATTTAATAGTTACTTGATAATAATACTTCTGATTAAGGTCATTATCACACTTGCACATTTTATGATCCCTGAAAGTGTGAAAATTCTCATTCAAATGTAATCAATGTGCAAATATGCATTTCTCCAGCGATCAGCGATATAAAAAGGACAATTTCATCATATTTGTTTCTTGGCATTTCAGATATGATAAACTGCACATTTTTAGTTTTGTCATTAGGCTAATATAATACATTTATCTCGTATACTGGTATGATTATGAATTTATGAGTGTGACTACATGACTTAATTATTCAACTATTTCAGAATACAAGGCCAAGTGCTGAAGACCTTCCTGAGGATTTAGCTCTGATTGTAACTTCATGTTGGAAGGAAGATCCAAGTGATAGACCAAATTTCAGTGAGATCATACAGATGCTCCTTCGATATCTCTCCACCATTTCATCACCAGAGCCTGTTCTTCATCTGCGGATGAGTTCATCTGATAATGTGGTGTTGCCACCAGAATCTCCTGGTACAAGTGCATTAATGCTTGGAAGAGATGACTCTGGAGAAACCTCAACAGACAAAGCTGAAGACAGGCCTAAAGGGTTTTTCTTCTGCTTCAACCAGTGTTACTGAGTCCTCAAAATACATCAGTTTGTCTTTGGGGCTGTCCCAGATCATAGTTAGGAAAACTAAAATAAAACCACATTCACAAATTGTAAGCTAGAATCTTAATAAGAAAATGTCAACTGGTATTATCAGATACTGATGAGTTCAGTAGCAAAAGAAAGCACCTTTGCTCTCAACAAGAGTTGTTGGCAAAGCTCTCTTGAATCATGTTAACTTTCTTCTGACTGATTTCCAGAAACTTGTGGGGTAAAGGTTGCTGAGATGTAATGAAATGTCATTGTAAAGTAAGGCTCATCCAAAGGCCCTTATCTCTATCTTGTTCATGTATGTGACATGGATATAGCCAGAAGTGAGGAGAGGGAAATTTTTCTGCATTGTCTTTCATCTGTTGCATTCATGGAACCACTTTTAGTTGCCAAGTTCTAACGCTTCTTTCTGTTATCCAAAATTGATGCATGTATTTTGCAATGAATATAGTGTCAGTATCATATCAAGCACAACTGTTTTTTCATTCCCACCTTATCAAAAGAAAGTTATCTAATATTTTTGGAGTAATGGAAGTATATTTGTTGTAGTTTTATCAGGAAAACATAGAAAGATTTAACATCAATGTATCATAAGTATTTCATATGAAATATTGAAAAGAAGGATTTGTAATTAATGAATAATAAGTATTTCATATAAAATTCTGGAAAGAAAACTTTAACACCCATGAATCACACGGATTTCATATAAAGAAGTTAAGATACCATTTTTAACTTAAATGTTAAAATAGTCAATGATTGGGTTGGATAAAATAAAGTGTATTATTAAAAACTGCATCAAATCAAAATTTAGTTTATTTGTATCTAAAACGAACTGAAAATTCAAAATTTAGTTTATTTGTATCTAAAACGAACTGAAAATTAGTTTAGACAAACTAAATCGATTTGATTTTTAAACACAATTTTGAGATATGTCAGAATAAGTTAAAGGTCGAAACGAGTCGGATTGGATTGAAGGTCGAGATAGGTTAATTTTATCCAAATTTAAGACCGATTAGGCTAAAGGTTAAAATGTGTTAGGTCGGGCTAAATGTCGAGATGAGTTAGGCTAAACCTGTCAGAATCATTAAATTCAGCAGTAAGTGGAAGCCAGGTGTTGGTGTGAGGGTTTAGAAAATTCAGAAAGTGAAAGATAGGTGTATACAGCTGGTTGGACTGATCGATTTTTGACGGTAGTATATAAGCAAAATTTTCAAACGTTGAGCCACTTTTTGCATGCACCTCTTTTCTTCAGATTTCTGAGTTTCCCCTCCTTCTCTCTACAATCCTCCTTCTTCTCTCTAAAAATCCTCACTCTCTTCTTCTGCTGATCATCATCTAGGCCGTGTTTGAATTCTTCTTTGGTGGCAAGAGTTTCTTTTCCATCAATCTGGCTGTTGTGCGAAGTGGTGGGTTGCTTTAGAAGTGATTGCTGGTTATTCAAAGTGGTGGAGGCTTAGGAAATTCCTAGTTTATTCAAGGTACGGGAAGCTAGTGATTTAATTATATTTTTCTATGTTTGAAGTTGATGTGCGAACGTTTGCATGTATGAATGATGGTATGTTTGATTAATTGTATTCAAATTTTGTGTTTGGCCGAGACTTGTGAACTGAATTGGAGTTCCTATTGTAGAACGTTCGGTCAGTTTGGGTGAGAGAAGAGATTGTGTGAAAATGTGAGTGGTGAGTAGTGTGTAAAAGGTTCAGTAGAATAGGTTTAAAATAACTTAGAAATCACGTTTGGAGGGTTAGAGATTAATAAAAATATCTTATTTTGGTTTAAGAATTGTTATTCAAAGATTTGTTTTGTTGACCGTTTGGTTGTGTTATGTACTCAGTCATTAACTAGGTTAAGTCTATTAGCAGTATTATCTATTTATGACCGTTCGGTCTAATCGTAAGTGTTATAATATTAAACCAGTGTTCGGTCTGGATAGAGTATCCAAAAATCTCTAAGTACTCGATCTAGTATAATATTCGGTATAAGTTTTTAAGAGTTTTTCAGTGTAAGTTATGAGTGTGTGGTTTAAACTCTTTGGATTGGGCTAAGTGTCTAGTAGTTGGTTTCTATGGTGGTCGGTCAATAATAGCGTTCGGTCAGTGTCTTCTATTTTGTCTGTATTCGGTTCTCTCGGTTAAGGTGTTCGGTCTCCAATGTTCAC